ATATATATAGTAATAAATCCATATACCGATTGTGAATGCACTTGCTCAGATATAAGTGTGTGGTCTGCTCTCCTCTCGAGAGTTCAAAGAGAACACATGTTCTTTCATTCGCCCAAATGCTTAAAAACCAATAGCCTCAAGTAGCTTGCAATCTACTAAAAAGTGCTCGCTTTTTTTTTTTATCCATGATGCATTAGTGCTTCATAAATAACCAAATAACACGCATTCTGCATGAAACACTTCACAAGACGGTCTTTGGCCTGGACCCGAACAATCCCGACATCCATTTGAATTACTCTCTATCCTTATTTGCGTTGCAGTAAACAATCCCAGAGAGAAGCAGCAGCGACGGAGCCAACTAAGTGTCAAGACGGGTTTGGTACATCAGACAGCGTTTTTTTCTCGCATTAAAAGCGCTTGAAAAGCACAAAAGGAGAAGCCGGGAGCCTTTCAAGCTGGGAAAAGTGCATTTCCATAACAGAACGACGTGAAGACGGGCGCGTAATAGAGGCGCGTTTGCGGCCTGCTGCTGAGTGGATGGGCAGGACGGTTTGATGCGTGAAAGCAGCACACGTTGTAATTACAGAGGCTCCCAACTCCAATTCCAAATCACTCTCGATGAGATGACAAGGAAGTCGAGACAGGAAGTTCAAAGTAAATATCCTGTTTGTTTGGCCCTGAGCGCTGAGGTACACAGAAACATGTTTTGGACTCGCGCTCTGGTAATGCGAAGAGTCAAAGCCAATATATGCAAACACAGAACAGTGTTTAAACGGGAAATCTGTAGCAGTCTGTTTGTGGTAAAAAGCAGCTGAGATACGAGTGTTTTGTTCAGCATCTGCTGTACTGCATGAACACATTTAAAGAGTTTTGAAATAGAGTATGTGATTCACTGGCAGTTCAGGGTGAGATGGATTCAGCGTGTAGCACAGTCTCGTATATGCTTATTATATATATAACAGTGAATATAAATTGTCACAGTTGACAGCTGTTTACACCATAGTTATGCTAGTTAACATCACAGCCATGACCTTCTTGATTTACGCTGGATGAAATAATCTCTCTTTAAAAGATAATGCACACTTTTTTGTGCAATTAAGTGGTTGTATTTTAGTTAATCAAAAATAATAATAATATTAGAACTTGTTAAGAGAGAGAGAGAGAGAGAGAGAGAATAAACTTCTCAAATTGGTGCAAAAAAAATTGTGCCATAAATGAATACATGGTATGTGTAAATGTATATAAACGTGTATATATATATATATATATATATATATATATATATATATATATATATATATATATATATATATATAATGTATGTGTGTGTGTGATTTAATACACATCCTATACATTTACAAATATATTAAATTATACACACTTTTATGTTCAATTTGATTAATTTTCATCATTTGTAGCCTAACTTTCTTTGCTTCTGAAACAACGGTATAACTTTAGTATAGGGACCAATTGACACAATTAACTAGTTGCTTATTAGCATGCATATTACTAGCATATTGGCTGTTTATAAGTACTTAAAAAGCACATATTCTGCATACCCATATTCTACATCAATACCCAAAACCAAAACTTAACAACTACCTTACTAACTATTAATAAGCAGCAAATTAGGAGTTTATTGAGGCAAAAGTCATAGTTAATTTTGTCAATAGCAAGAATTGAACCTTAAAATAAAGTGTGACTGCAACAACTTTCATTTGATGTCACTTTTATATTAGCAAAGACAGTAGCCAGTAATATCATAGCAATATTTCATAATCTCATCAAATCCTAATTGCCAAAAAACAAGTCCCGTCCAAATTCCTAAATACAGTTTTCCACTCTAAATCTCCCATGTAACTCAGAAAACATTGTTACTTTAAAGTTATATTGGATTGCGAATCCAGTTTTTTTTTTAAATATACTCA